TTACTGGAGAACTCGCCCCTTCTGGTTGCACCATGATATTAGGCTTGGTGTGTAAGACCTGGATTCTTTCTTGTTCTGAAGAGACCCTCTCATGAGGAACTGTCAAATTTTAAATTATGGAATCTCCAAATGATCAGTCCAGTTTGGCACATGAAATCAGTGGCAAAAATGTGGAAAGAAGGCTGAGAGTGAGGGATGATTTGTCATTGTGAAAATGATGTGTTTTGGGGGAGGCAGACCTTTGGTGATTAGAGGGCACCTGGAGGGTAAGAGCAACACTTGTTTCTAAAATAGGTGTGATGCTTTTTCTTGGGTGTCACTGTTGAGAGTTGTATTATGACAGATGAGAGAGTGAGTTATCTTTGCCATGCGCTTGACCCCTCAGCCATATTTACCTTCTCATAAAGTGCCTTTGTGCTCCAGCAATTTGCTTCAATTAAAGTCATTATCTCAGACAGAAGCACCCGCTGATGGCAGAGAGGCACCCTTGTGGGAGGGGAGACAGCAACTCTTTCTGTGCCCCTTGCTCATCCCAGGCCTGTGAACAGATGGTTGCTGTGGCCCTTGAGCCTGTCCTCAACTGCCTTTGGGCATGAGCGATGGTGAGAGGGACAGAAAAATAATCAACTCAACAGATAAGGCTGTGACACTTTCACTCTCACTTTTCAGCTCTCTTGCTTTTCCAGTCTCTAAGCTTGCTCTTTCTATCTTTCCTCTCAGCTTCAGCACAAAACAGAAAAAAATATAATGGGTTAAAGTGATAAGTTCAGGCTTTCCTTTCCCCTAAACCACAGGTACTCAGCAATGAAAGCCAAGTCTTCAAGTATCTTTCTCAGCAGCTTCCCCAAGATTCTGATTCTGTAGACGTGCCTCTGTCTTGGGACATAAGCTGAAGTAAAGGAAAACCCACCACCATTTCCAAGAGGAAATTCAGCATGGATGAGGGAATCAACAAGCAGTGGAGAAGAACTGTAACTGGGAATGACCCACCATTGTAGCTTTTTCAGTTGGTCAGTACATTTTGTCCAGGATAGAGATTGGCATTTTCATCTGCTGAGGGCCACATATCAAAAGTAAGTAAAACCAACACTACTGATGGATGAGGTCACAGCCAAAAGCTGGAAAAGGAAATGGTTTCTCCTGCAGCACTATGAACTAATTGTTTGCAAAGAGCTTTTAAAATTATGGTTGGGAATGCATGAGATTAGGCCAAGGGTTGCAGGTTGTCACCTGTAGTCTTAAGGAAAGGATGTGATGCAGGTGAAATCTGTAGACTGAGCCCAGGTGATGCCTATATATTTCAGCCCCGAGAAGCATAGCCAGCACTAATGCACAAGGCCAAGTGCTTCCTTAGGGCTTGGATTGGCCTTCAACGTTATAGACTTAGTAACCCCGCTTACCAGCATTGCCAGCAGCAGTTCAGGAGCTACTGCATTATTACTGTTGAGTTCTTATGTTGTTACTCATGATCCAGTTCAAATTCAGGATGGCGTTACCTTGCAGTTTTTGAAAACTCAGATTCTGTTGCAGGAGCAGTTATTAACAAAGGAAAATTATATGTGAACAGATTCATGGAGATGAATCCATTCTGGCTTTTCAATACCCTAGTAGCTTGAGGGGCTCAGCCAGAAACACATTTGAGAAATAGGCTGATCTGTTCATCTTTCTCCATATATATTTGATTTTATGTCATTCTGTCTGAATACCTGCCAACAGAAAAGTTAAATAATAGTCACAATTAAATAAGTTGCCCAAAGGAGGAGGAGGAGGAGGAGGAGGAGGTGGTAGTAGTAGTAGTTTGTCTGGTTATTATATGTGGTGCTTGGAATTTATATTTATAGCTTAAGGTTAACTTGATGGTGAAGATTTGGACCCTCACCACACCAATATATTTTCAAAGCTCTCCTATAGCTGGTAATGCCCAGCTTGCTCTATAAATACTGTAAAACAGATGTTTTTGAAGAGATATAAATGTATGACTTGGGAAAATCAAGAGAGGTGATATATGCCTATTTAGCTCTCCAGCTGTGAATTCAACTAGCCTGTTAGGTTTGGTTTTGTGTTTTTGACCAAATATGTCCCTGCTAAGTTAAACTTGACACCTGCAGCTTCATAAACAGATAATTTTCACACATTGCTAGCTTCCTTCCTTGACACATCCGATGTTAAGACACTTTCATATAAAGAAGTAAGGAAATAACAGCCTGTTCAATTTTTGAGGCATTTTTCTTCAGATTTTGTTGTATCTCCAACATGGGGATTTTAAAATCTTTTCCCTGTTGCAGGTAGCACTGAATAAAGATCTGTGACTATCTTGTCCCTCTGGTTCTAGAGTATCTTGGTTTAAGGCTGTAAACACCATGGCTGCTGATGCTGCCTCAGGGGAACACATTTCTCAGTCTGACTTTAAGCAGATCAGGCTCCTGGTGTGGCTGCAGCCTATCCATGGATACAGTGGTCACTTCATTGGTTGCTGCCCAAGTATGGGGATAAAAAGCTTGAGATCTTATGGTTTGGGAATGTGGTGTTTTGACTTAAACCACCAGGGAAAGGAGGTGGAAAGAGTTGAAACGGGATAAGCGATCTGGGAGCTTTGGAGTAAGGAATGTACAACAAATGGCTGGCTGTGTGCCTGTCACCCATTATCAGAAAGATGAGGTTTGCACACTTGAGTACTCTTAACAGTGAGTCAAGTGTTAATTTAGCAGCTGCTCCCGCAAATGGTGGTTGTGGGGAACCAACAATCTTTTGAGGGTGACACGGTAGTCTAGGAGAGACAGGGACTAATTCCACAAACAAGGGGATTGTCCATTCCTAAAATGAGCTTTTGGGGGCTTAAAAGTCACAAGCAGCCAAATAAGCCAAAGCATCTTAAGTGGTGCACAAGGGAGAGAGCCAGTGCAACATAACTACACTCTGTCCTCTGTGTACAGAGCCATTTGTGCCCATAAAAGATGCAACTTCCCTTCATGTTTCCTAAGCCCAGGAGCCATTGCCTTTTCTCAGAGTTGCTCAAGTTTAGGAAAAGATCTGGGTTTTCCCCCCAGTGGATCCAAAACGAGAGTCCTACTAAAAATGAATTATGGTACTAGTGGAAGGCCAGATATAGTCGTGACAATCTGACTGGTTCTGAGTGGAGGAGGCAGTGAAGGTGAGCAGGCAGTAAATTTCCAGTGCCCTCCCAAGAGAAAAGGATCACAGGCATCCTTTGTGCTCATTTTTAGTCTTGCCATCTCTGCATATGTCTCATTTTCTAGCAGAAGACAGAAAACCTTCCAGTTGATCTCTGTGTCCCATCTCTAAATTCTCTGCTTTATTTTTGCCTCAAATAAGACATCTTTAGAGAATCCAGAGCGCAGTAACTTTATGAATATCCAGGCTGTTTGCTTCAATCAATATTCAGTTCCACCTTCAAAATGAAGCATGAGGATTAAAAAATGACCTTTTTATCAGCTGGTTATATCTACTCACCCTAACCAAATGCTGACTTGACCAGCGTCTATATGCCCCTTTAATTTTTCAAAAAAGCATAATGAATATCCCAACATTATATTCTCTTCCTCATACTGTAGAGTCTCGCTTATCCAACATAAATGAGCCGGCAAAATGTTGGATAAGTGAAAATGTTGGATAATATGGAGGGATTAAGGAAAAATCTATTAAACATGAAGTTACATTATGATTTTACAAATTAAGCACCAAAATATCATGTTTTACAACAAATTGACATAAAAAGCAGTTCAATACATGGCAACATTATGTAGTAATTACTGTATTTATGAATTTAGCACCAAAATGTTACCATGTATTGAAACAGCTGTGGAACTGGGCGGGAGGCAAACTACGTTGGATAATACAGAACGTTGGATGAGCGAAGGTTGGATAAGTGAGACTCTGCTGTATATGGTTGTTAAGGAACTAAGCCTAAAAGAAAGCAGCTTGGCCAAGGTCACATACTGAATCTAGGAGTGGGGGACACACCCTTTTCCATAACTAATAAATTGGCTATCAGATCACACGACATGCTGCCCCAGTACTTGAATTGTTCTGTTTCTTCCTTCTCTCCACCAAAGAGAAGAATGCCTTTAGAAGAACATAAGAAGGACCATGCAACATTCAGTCCCAGGGCTGTCTGATCCCACATGCGTTTCCTACAATGGCCAACCACATGAGCATGGGAAGGTTCATACAGGATGGGAGTGCAAATATCCCCTCCTGTTCATGCTCACCAGCAACTTATGGTCCAATGCCATTTATAGTCTTCTTTCATAAAAGTCCTGTCAACATAAGAATGTGATGGCAATCCCAACAGTAGTTCCATTTAATGATGGGAAACGGAAACTAAAAATGACTTGGCCAAGTCTACACATGTTCCAAAAATATGAGTCTGCATCAGAAGATCAGTAAAAACATTATTTTTGGCTTATAACAGATCTCCACTTATAGCATGGAGTACAGAGAATAAAAGAAACTAATTTGGTAACAACCAGACAGCAAGTTCATCATGGCAGAAGACATTGTAAGCATACAAAAGGAGACCACATTGAAGCATACAGGTGGGAATAGGATGAATACATAGGGACCACAGAGAGCAAGATACTGGGAGAAAGACGGGGGGGGGGGGGTTTCCAAGAGTGAGGGGGATGGTGATACCATGTTTAATTTGAAGGATGATTCCCTAAAACTGGCATAGCACCAGAAGATGGCAAGCTGAAGATCCAGCTCCTTAATGTCCATCACAGTTAAGGAGGCCTTTGTGTCTCACTAAGAAGCAGAAGTACTTAGTTGGCTGTGTGCTGCATAGCTCCTGGATGAGGCAGGTTTTTGCACACAGGAAACGGAAAGGCAAGAAGCTGCAATTCCCTAATTCAAATGCTGCTTTGATGTTGCTTTTCTAACACGTACTGAAGGCTGTACGTGTTAGAAAAGCTTCAGAATAACTTCAGAAACTGAAGTTATTCTGGGGCCATTCATATTCAGGGAACATATTTTTACAGAAGTTTTGTTTTGATGAAGTGCAATGTTGGCAGCAGAGTCTCAATGCCCCTCCAAGGGCTGCTGGAACTGGCCTGGAGAGTACAAGGTCTTGGCCACTGGAGAGGACAATTACCTGTTTGTTGCACTGTTTCTAATTTTAACTTGGAAAGGTTAAAACTTGTGAAGGGCAGGACTGGTGCAGGACACCTGTTCCTGTCCATGTTGATACATGTAGCACGGACCAGTTTCTTGCTTAGGACAAGCCTCTCACTGCATTAAGAGGAGGCACTAACCAGGTTGCTAGAATATAGCACAGTATATTGAGGTGTTTGAGCCCCTGGACACTGGCACTGACTAACAGACATATAGAGACACAAAGTGGCCATTGGAGCTGATATCACCTTCCTGCCTCAACCCCTCAAGGTTACAAAATCAGCCAAGAAAAAGGTTGTTTGAGAATAAAAGGAACAAGTATGGGCCATTCCCCACAGACTTATATCCCAGAATATCAAAGCAGAAAATCCTACAATATCTGCTTTGAACTGGGTTATCTGAGTCCATACTCAGATAATGTGGGATTTTCTGCCTTGATATTCTGGGATATAGGCCAGTGTAGAAGGGCCCCATGGATTCCAGAGATGGTAGCATTTTGGTGAGGACCTTCTCCACAGCCATATAACCCAGAATACCAAGACAGAAAATCCCACAATATCTGCTTTGAACTGGGTTATATGAGTCCACACTCAGATAATGTGGGATTTTCTGCCTTGATACAGGGCCGTGTGGAAGGCCAGTAGTTGTGGTGAAGTGTTACACCTCCTTTCATGGCTGAGGATGCGTAGCCCTGGTCCTGAGTGACCATTATAGGTGGAGCATAACATTCTCTCTGCAGGAAACACTTCCTTTGTCACTGCAACTGCCAAAATCCGAAGCTTCATCTGCTCCCATTTCCTTCAAGAGGCTTGGCTACTGCTCCCTTCTTTTGCACTCATTGAACATGACATGGTGCAACTAGAACACAGGGAGTCCCCTGTCCTGTTTACATCACTGTTGTGATGTGCTTTCAAGTTGACTACAACCTTATCACAGGATTTTTCTTAGTGAGACTTTTTCAGAGGTCTTTCCCTTTCATCCCAACCCCCTCTCCCCCAGCAGCTGTCAAGCTTTGGAAGCAGCATTGCTGCTGCTGCTGCTGCTGCTTACCAGAGGGTACAGCAGAAGGAATTCAGAGAAGATGCAGCTGCTCTGGCCTCCAAGGAAAAGGGAAAGGAGAGGGCGCTCTACCTTATTTTCCACTTCTGAGACCATGTTTGTTCATTATATGAATGGTCTCCTTTTCCCTGGTGGGACATGTCAGCTACCAAGATGAACTAGAGTAGGGCTTCTTAAAATATTTTTCATTCATTTTGATCTGAGAATTTTTCGTGACCCTGGGTATATAGGTATATAAAATAAATGTACAAATCAAGAATTTTCTGATAACAAATCAATATTCTCAAGACTTGCTAAACTGGCTGATTTTCCTTTTTGTGGAGTACAGCTGAAGCATCTTCTGCAGAATCCACTGTAAACACTGTATTTTGTTGCTATCAGATTTTTAGAAATGAGTGGCATTCAGGAACCTTTTACTGTTGCCAAGCTTTTCAGGAATCCAACACTGAGCTAAGAGGGCCCCATTTGGGGTCCAGACCCGCAGTTTAAGAAGCAGAGGGCTAGAGGATACAGAGCAGTGCGGGAAGAATATTTTGCTCCACTTACTTTATGCAGGATTTTAGTCATAATCATATTGGACAATTATATATTTGGAAGTTTTGCTGCAAAATTCTTTTGAGGACCCTTTTTTTGGCAGAACTTTATACTAAGATTTATTTATCTGGAAGAGAGGGGTAAAATAAGTGAAACTTAGGGAATAGCTAAATACATCTTGCTCCATGACTAATAAAAGCAACTGCACAATGTCCATGCTTAAAAAAAACTTTTAGCAAATAGTGCTGACACATTCTTAACTTGTTCTCTGTAAATACAAGGGCTAACATTTTGTTTTAAAAGGGATTCTGAGATTCCCAAAGATTTGATCAGGACTGATCATGGCACAGCCTCTAAACTGTGCAACTTTTCAGAGCTTACCAAAGTACAGAATTTCTTCTTACACAAAATTGGTTTGGCACTGTCACTTCCCTTAGTGTATTCTGTGACTGTGTTACTCCTGCCTTGTTCCATCTAATGCAGCACAGCAGTGGGGTACTGTGCCTTGCGTACAGGCAAGGCAGTAAGTCTCATTGGGTCAAACACATATCTCTCCAACAGAAAAGAACTCGCACTGTTCCAGCAACATCTCCAGGAAAATTAGAAGATGATACTGTTTCCAGTCACATGTCCTTTCTCAATGTTTTCAAGTTCAGGTTCCTGGCAGAGTCCGCTGCCATGCCTGGCCTCCAGTGTGGCTGTCCTCTGGGAAGACCTCCTTCAGAAGTTGCTCTCCACAGTGTCAGGGGAGTCATGGCCCTGGGGATGCCAGTTTCCACCTGCGGCCAAGTTTTCACTGGCACTGCAGCCTGTCCTCTCCAGATACTGCGTGCTCGTATGGACAGTGGCCTGGCTGCGCCCCAGCCCATTGAGGTAGTTGCCAACCAGTTTGTGCTTCTCGAAGGTGCTGGCACCCCCATTGCGGACATTGGGTGTGTGGCTGTATGTGTGCTTGTACTCCTCTTCTATGTCCCAGCCAAGCTTCCAGCGTGTCCATTTCTTTGTGAGCTCTGACTGTACCTACAGAAAAAACACACCAGGAGACCTGGGTTTGCCATGGATCTGACACTCTCTTTTTATTGTTTTATCAGTTTTCTAAGACATTGTAAAACTGATTCCAGTAGCTAGCAGGCTGCAACTCATATAAATAAACATCTATAAGAAGCTCACAAGCATGAGAAATTGAGATCTGACATTTTGAGGGCTAAAGCAATGTGTTACATGCAAACAAGGATACCTAAAATTGGTACATATCAACTTATTGTAGTAAAAAGGAACTTTGAAAGGGAGTGATTTTCACTGCAGAGATGACATTGAGCAAAGGGGGAAATCCCTTCTCATTACCACTTTTTTTGTGCTGCAGCTTATCTTGCCCCCAGGTTTCCAAAAAAAGCAGAGTGTAATAGAAGATTGCAGAGTTGTCACTGGACTGACTGTAGGAAGATGCAGCTGGGTGTAGGGAGTTGTGGAAAGAAAGCAGGAGGCTGAGGGAGGTGTGCCACCACTTCTCCATCTACAGCTTCAGTGAAAACTGGCCTCTTTCTCAAGGCTAGTTTTCCTTCTAAGCAACAAAGGTGGCCATGCCACACATAGCCACCAAGCAGGATCACCATCCCGATATGTTTTGTACACCTAATTACAATCATATGGACAAAAGACACACATGGAAGTGATATGTGTCTGTACTCTTGCTTACATCTGTAACTAAACACCATCTTCCTGAGTGAATTAGGGGCTGTAGTCCCCATGGGGAGAAAGGGCAGGTTAGAAATAATAATATAATAATAATAATAATAATAATAATTGTTTTTCTCCCCTCAATACAGATAGGATCAGGGGATGGGAGTGGGGGGAGGTGTTGTTGTTGTTGTCCCTGCAGTTTTGGCAGTATTTCAAAGGCTCTGTCCCCAAAGAAGGCTGCAAGCATCCTAGGATGCTTATTTTCATCAATGTGATGAGGCCTTGGTGACACTCAAATAGTAAAGTCCCAATTCAAAGGAAGGAGCATTCAGCCTTTGTGGTTGAGGATGCTCTCAATAATCTAGTTCTTATCATAATTTAATTTTTAAAGTACATAAACATGTAGACATTCATCCAACCACAAACTGGAAAACTTTTGTTTGTCTTGCATTGAATCAAGATCCTCATGGTTCACGTGCTATCTCTCCATCTCATTTTGTTTATCCTGATGTTTCCAGACTTCCCACAAATGGGGTGGTAGTGGTAGTTAAGCCTAAAATACCCTGTTTATCTCTCTATGTACGTATGTTTGTGTATTCCCTCTGCTGCCATATAAGTATATTATATATCCCCTCTAAGGACTTCATCACATTAATTAGGTCCTTTGTGTCGATTTATCAACCTTTGTTGTGAATTGGTGACACAGCAGGACAATCCCAACAACTCACACCTCGACCAGCTGGCAGGAATGCTTCCCCATCACACATGGAGAAGTGTCACTGCATGGCTTGTCCCCGCGATAGTCCCGATGTTCCAAATGGAACATGGAGAGGCTCCTGTGTTGGTGGTGCAGTGTCCTACCACACTGCCACCCCAGTTGAGCAATGGAGTCCCACCAGAAGTGAGGCTACGTTGTATGATGGGTGGCGTAGGGCTCCATTGCTCAACTGGGGTGGCAGTGTCCTAGGACACTAGAAATGTGTCATGTAATGAGGTTGTAAAGGCCAGGGTTCTATATGCAAATTTTACAAGGAAGGAATGCATGACATGACTACTGCATGCCAACCATTTAAGAGATCTGCAAGTGGGAAAACAATAGATTATCACATGGGGAGAGAGGGAGGGTTAAAAATTGATGATGATGATGATGATGATAATAATAATAGTCCCTGCAGATCTGGAAGTATTTCAAAGGCATTGTATGTAATGGCAATGTATCTCTAACACAATTTGGAAAATCAGATAGAAATCCTACTCCCCTACCCATCAGTAATTCCTCCCATATAAATAGTAGTCTATATGTTATATCTTCCTGGCCACAGATGCATTTGCACTCACCTCTTTGTTCACAAAGCAATAAAGTATGGCCACCAGCATGCCCTAATGACAGAGAAGAATCAATCAGAATAAGGCTATTCAAAGTGTATGTGTGTATGTGGGAGAGGGAGGGACGGGGGCAGGAGAGAGAGAGAGAGAGAGAGAGAGAGAGAGAGAGAGAGAGAGAGAAAGTATATACATACATGCTGGCTTTTTGGCAAATGGTTAACCAGAAAAAAAAATCAGGGGTGTGGGCACTGGAGGTTGAAGGCTCTCAAAAGTGGCTTTGGTGAGCTTCACTTTTCTCCCCTCAATACAGATAGGGCTGGGAGATGGGGGAGGTATGTCATGTGCCTGTGACTCACCTGGAAGGAGCTGAGGAAGAGGTCAAAGAAGAGCTTGACATATCGCAGGGTACCCTGAGCATGTTCATCAGTGACAAAGGCAAAAACTACCTCATGGATACCCAGCAATGGAATAAGTGTCAGCGTGGACTTGGCCAGCCTAAAATAGAGAATTAGAATGCATTATTGGAAATAGGTCCCTAGTATCTAGTTAAAAAAACAAAAAACCAAACCAAACAAGCAAAAATTGAAGAACTGGATAAAATCAACAAGAAGAAAGGAAAGACACATCTCAAGGTGCATAAAAGATAGTATTTTATGAATGGGCTTTTCAGTTTATGAAAGGCCATCTTTTAAACATGTTGAGATGTATCTTCTTTTTCTCCTCTCTACACGTTACTCTATTGCCAGTTCCATAGACGCACCCTATCTGACGGTGGTACGAATGAGCTTATGTGTAGGAAAACATGAATGCACAGATACCACAAACTGGCCAGTTCAGAAAGACACAAACCAGTGCTCAAGCCCCAATGCCCATGGAAATGCTAGAAATGATTGCAAGGACAGTCCCAACCAAGAAAGCCCAGAAAGCTGTGTGAACGGAATATCCTCATCCCAAAGAAACGATGGCCCTGTGGGGACAACGGCCAGTACCGGAATTTGTAGTCTGTGTAGCGCATCTGGTGGGCACGGAGTTTGGAGACCAATATCTGAATGATACGGATAAAAATGAAGAAATTGATCTGAAAGAGAAGACCATGTGGTTAAGAGGTGGAAAGGGACAACACGGAAGTGAATATATAATTAACATATAGTGAGGTCTTGCATATAATAATATTAATTATTCATATGAATATTAAACTCACTTTTCTCGTCTTAAAGTGGTCTGCATAGGTCTTTCTATAGTCTTCCATCCAGATCATATCCCCAAATTAGATTTCCCAGAGCTTTCAGCAGGCCACTGAAAGCTCTAGCTTTATACATTAAAAATCCTTGGGTTTTAAGCATGTAGCAAATGTTCTGCAAACATTAAATAGATTCTGCATGAACTTCAGAAATGCAGATGGTGGTAGTAGCTGTAAGGCTTTTTGTCAGCTTAGGCTGGTACAGATTGGACCTTGAGTGTGTTAGCAATATTACTGTGATAGACTTGATGTCAGAATGCCTTTAAAAATAGTATTGTATACAGTTGGTGTGTGAGAGAAAGACATTCGGATTGTGATTTCCATGTTTTCTAAGACAAGTAGAGCCTTAGGTAAACATTCGGCTTTTCTATGCTTGGTAGATGAATTGCCCCCAAACCTCCTGCTCGTTCTTTTATGAAGAAGAGGATATCAGAGGCAGGTAATATCACCTTTGGGGTCTGCTGGAATTTTGAGATTGAGACAAACATAAAAGAGATAAAGACTCACAAAGATGGCCAGAAAGACAGGGAAACGCAGGATCCACCAGAAACCCATGTTATTGTTGGTACTCCAGCATCTTGAGAAAGGAAGGAAGAAAGAAGCAACCATGTAAAAGACAGTCAAACAAATACATACTTATTCATTTGCTAAATAACACCCCAATCCTGTATGACACAGAGTGTTCATCCCATATTCTCATGAATGTCACCTGCTAAATTGGAGCCCCCGGTGGTGCAATGGATTAAACCCATGTGCTGGTAGGACTGTCAGTGGTTCAAAGCAGAGGAAAGCAGGTTGAGCTCCCCTCTGTCAGCTCCAGCTCCCCATGCTGGGACACGAGAGAAGCCTCCCACAAGGAGGATAAAACATCAAACATCCGGGCATCCCCTGGGCAACGTCTTTGCAGATGGTCAATTATCTCACACCAGAAGCAACTTGCAGTTTCTCAAGTCGCTCCTCACACACACACACAAACACAAAACCCTGCTAAATTGTCCAAAAACAACAACCTGTCTGCGCACCAGCCCATATATGTATAGTATTCAGGTGCATTGCTTGTTAGAACTTACTGAATATTTTCATAAAGAAATTTCACCACTACCCATGGCACAATGAAGAGAATTGGGGCTCCTGGAAAAAAAAGAAAAAAGAATTACACAGAGCAACCTCTTTGTTATAGGCAGAGATTTAACCAGTATTATGACTTTACATTCCTATCTCAATGCCAAGAAGAGAGATGCCAAGATTAGTACAGTAGTGTCTCGCTTATCCATCATAAATGGACCAGCAGAATGCTGGATAAGCAAAAATGTTGGATAATAAGGAGGAATTAAGGAAAAGCATATTAAATGTCAAATTATGTTATGATTTTACAAATTTAGCACCAAAACATCATGTTTTACAACAAATCAACAGAAAAAGCAGGTCAATACATGGTAACGTTATGTAGTAATTACTGTATTTCCAAATTTAGCACCAAAAGATTGCAATGTATTGAAACAGATGTGGATCCGGATGGGAAGCAGACTGCATTGGATAATATAGAACGTTAGATGAGTGAAGGATGGAAAAGCGAGATTCTACTGCAGTTCAAAAATAAATGGCTGAGTTGGGGGAGAGAGGCTTACCTGAATTGAGATCCTGTTTTGAAGGTGTGTAAACCCAATTTTGATGCTTATCCAGATTATCCCCATGCTATTTTTAAGAGGTTGGGAAAAACAGACTTTTTCCAATCAAAGATTTCCTCCTTAACAAGTTTGAGGGCCATGATCCAGACTGAGTGAATCCCCACCCCTACCAGAATGTCAAGGCCAGATCATGCAGCTTTCTGTTGACCTGAAATTTGTCCTTGAAATACTCATCATAGACTAAAAATGGTAAGATAAAGCCATGGCTGATCACAATAATGTTGTTTCTGTCCCACAAGACAAAAAGATGTTGCAGGGTTTTGTAGTGCTTTGAAAATCAATGTAACTGGGAACATGGTCATGGGGGAATAAATGTCTTTATAGCAGGTAACAAATGAATCTGTCAAACTCTCCCCAAATGTCTATGAGGTACATGACTTTAGTTGCAAGACAGCGTGCAGTTCCAGTTGGAGAAGGCTGCCCTTCAAGCCAAACTTTAGTAGGCATGAGGGATGTCTGGCTGCCAGCAAAACATCAGTGTCTCCTGCCTGTGTCTCCTTAGGAATGTTTGGGAAAAGATGAAGACATATGAGATGGTGCCATGGCATTCATAGCGTACCACCCATTACTAGCAGCAGCCAATTAAACAGAGTGGGTGGGTGACTGAGACAGCGATCTGTCATTCCGGTATGAACTGATCTGCTCCCCTTCTGGGGACAAACTAACATGCAGGTCAGGAATTAGGGAGCCACTCACAGGCATTGACATTTCCCAAGTATTCTGATGCAGTTTTTGGCACAAAAGAAGGGGGATGAAAATACTATGTCATGACATAAAATGTATAGTCTAAGAAAAAAACAGAATGAAGACAAAGTGTTCTTGTTCAACACACATGGAAGTAACAGGGATTGGAAGTCAGGCAGATTCATGTCTTTCCAAGAAAGCCTGAGCATGATGACACCATATTGTATACCTTCAGTAGGAAAGCATGCTGGAAAATATAGGGATATGCTGTCAGTGGCACTTGGCATCTCTCAATATTTGGCTCTTTTCTTCTCTCTCTAAGTAACAAGCTAATTCTTTAGCGCATTGCTGGAGTCACAAATGTTTTGCTTCCTAAGGTAGAGTCTATGTCACATGAGTCAAAGTTGGTTAGGTTGGCATTTTAACAAATAATGGCATCAGCATAGCATTTTCCGTTCCAGGGGGAAAGGGGAAAACAGGCCATCTGGTATCTTTCAACTCTACCTCTTGTCTCTTGGCATTTGCTGCCTCAATTCTGCCTAATAATTGGGCTAGTCTCAGCTCGTTTTCACAAATGTTGGGTCAAATATAACATTCAACCCAAGGAAAAATGTTTTTTATTTTATTTTTTAGTAGCAAGAATGCATAGGATAGGCATTCTCAAACTGCAGCCCTCCAGCTGTTTGGGCCTCCAACTTCTAGAAGCCCTAACAAACTTGTTCAATTGTCAGGAATTCTTGGAGTTGAAGCCCAAACAGCTGGGGGGGGGGCACAGTTTGAGGATGCCTGGCATAGAATAAGAAGTCTGGACTGTGACCTCACCTGAGCCCAGTCATTCCTGGTCAACTTCTGAGATCTGCTGCTTGAAACACTTCCTCCCTCAGTGACCCCGGGACATACACACTCTGGACATCCGGATTCATGCCATCTCTCTCACACACCCCCAACCTTTTAAAGAAATCCCACTCTTTTCTCTCAGCATGTTATACTTTCATCCCAGACTAATCTATAATATTCCAAACATTTGACCATTTCAATTAAACCAGAGACCAATGACACAGAAAGATAATAGATAGTAGTTAGAGTTTGATGACTCTTTTTTTTCAGAGACACAAATGGATGGGCTCTAATTTGTCTGAAAGCCTAGGTCAGTGATCATATTATCTCATTTCTGTCTGTTCCATCTACAGTGTTGTCCTCATGATGTCCTTAACGAAGGCCTAATCCCACTGTTCCTCCTTCTTGGGGTCCTCCCTCACAAATACACTTTTCCACTACTATCTCATTCAGGGTTTTATCATTTTTATCTTGTGCATTTGGCCCACCCATTTCATTATATTATTTTGCAACTGTTTATTTTATTTTGTTACTTCATGTATCTTATTGTGATGTAATTTTTTGTTAATTTGTATTTTATATTGCTGTATTGTATTTTTGGGCTTGGCCTCATGTTAGCCACCCTGAGTCCCCTTTGGGGAGATCGTGGCGGAGTATAAATAAAGTATTATTATTATTATTATTATTATTATTATTATTATTATTATTATTCTGCCTCACTGGAATTGATTTAATGGAGGCTGTCAGTTTTCCAGACATGAAACAGAACAGTAAAAGCACTTCGACAGAACTTGAACCATTTTAAAGTTGTTGGCATTAATAGGAACTTTTTAAAACGTGTAACACATTTGTATCACCATTAGTCCTCATGTTATACATCATGCATGAATAACTTGTTATTAATCTCTCATTTTTAATTAATGTTTGACAAAGAAAATGGCCAAAAGAAATCTAAATCTTCCTCCAAATAATCCTTAAAATATTTTATCAGCTTATCAGAAACCCATGGGATCAGAAGGAGGTGGGGTTTAATTTTGGAAAGCATTTATTTGCATAATGAGATATTTTGGAGGTGGGACGGAAGTCTAAACATAGAATTCAACTATATTTCAAATACATCTTACACACATAGTCTGGAGGTAATTTTGTACAAGATTTTAAATAATTTTGTACATAAAAGAAAGTTTGTGTACACTGAATGTCAGCCATCCATGTGGATAATTGCAGATTTTGGAATATTTTGGATTTGGGAATTCTGGATAAGTGACACCTTACCTGTACTTAGTATAGGTTGCTCATTACATACACATGCATTCCCCCCAAAATATATTTACTACTAATGTTAACATACAGGGGGAAAGCCTGCAATTATTTTCTCATTACATCCTCTCAAATAAGGTAACATTTTTAGTTACTTGCAAACTCTGATCTCTGCTACCTTGAAAAAGAACTACGGGCAATAGCAGTGTGTTAAACAATGAAATTCCTCTTGAACAGTGTGGAAGGTGGTGCAGAGAGGAATCTGAAAATCAGACCCCTGCATTTCCAGTGGGAACCTCCACCGGATCCTAGAGATCCTTCCCCCAACAGTAGGCGGAGTCTGGCTCCAGCCTTCCAACTCTTTTGGTACTGCTCTCCCCTTCCCATGACCCAGAGACATTATCTTTCCACCCAACATTTAGTGATGAACATCTGCAGCATTTTCCTGTCTTGCCTCCCAAATGGCTTTCCTCTAGTTTCTTCTCCCTGTGTGGCAATGTTGCATGCCTGGGTTACTCTATGTTTCTGCAGTTCCTCACTGAAAGGAGTCTTGAAGTTAATCTTACCCAGGCCGCTAGTGGCCATCTACTCACCCCAGCCGATGCAGAGGTAGAGGGTGAAGTAGCTGCGCTCGGAGAAAACAGCCAGCACGAGCAAGTTGTGCAGGTAGATCCCTTCCACTAGAAGCCAACAGTAGTTGGCCACAATGCCGTACTGCATAAACACAGTGGCTGCTCGGCAGCCTGCCGCCGCCTGGGAGCAACAACAAAAAAAAGTTAGTGGAAAGGACAAAAAAACTTGGAAACTTTTGGCAAGGAACTTCATCCGCCCCCCGCCCCCTCAAACAATATCCAGAAGAATATGAACATGAAGGGAAAATGTGACTAATACCCAGGACTACTTCTTGACTATCCTCCCTCACAAGGTCATGCCATGTGGCACATAAGCCGAAGTGGCTGCATTCATTCCTCACATGGAAGCCAATTCGCCTGGCAGCTGAATTTACCATTAACATTGGCAGCATGAAAGCAACATCTATGACACCTAGAGGTGGCAGACTTTATTAGTAGGACCATGATAGGTTATCTGGTACATTTAATTCTCTTCTCCAAGAGGAGGGAATGCTCAAGTGGAACTCTTGAGCATTTCCCAGAGTGTGGTGGAGGCTCCGTCTTTGGTGGCTTTTAAGTAGAAACTGGCCATCTGTCAGGGGTGCTTTGAATGTGATTTTCCTGCTTCTTGGCAGTGGGTTGGACTGGATGGCCCACAAGGTCTCTTCTAACTCAATGATTCTATGATTCAAGAAGGTTGGCAGCTTCAGGAGAAATTGTTGGGATGTTGTCTTTGCTACTCCCACCCTCAACATTTGCTGCCTGAGATAGTTAATTCTACTTGACTAATAGCCCAGCCCCATAGTGTTGTGGTGGATGTTTTACAAATTCAAACTCCTGATATAGGAGATGCTTCAATCCTGTGTTATGCTACACGATGGCCAGGGCAGCATGGAGAGGGGAAAGAAGGGGAGAAGTGTTTTGTTTTTTTTAAAGAATCATTAGACTCATTATCTTCTTAGCAACAAAATAGTCCTGTTGATCAAGTTTTCAAATGGCTCAATGGCAGCATTTGGTACCGAGTTCCCCTACTGTGATCTAGCCACACAGAATGAAGATATTTTGTGGAGTATGACAGAGGCTGGAGAGACGGAGGTGTGGCTTAATTTGATCTTGAACTTCAGGACCAAAGTCTAGAAAATCCACCACCACCTTTTTTTTTAAATTACACTTCCCAGAATGCCCAACCAATACTGCCGGTGATTCTGCTGGCAGGAGGATTCTGGGTGTATTAGTCCAAAAATGGAGAAATTTTCGAAGCTCTGCTCAAGATTAGCTTCCAGTTCCATGAAGCCTTATAGCAGTGGTTCTCAACCTGTGGGTTCCCAGGTGTTTTGGCCTACAACTCCCAGAAATCCCAGCCAGTTTACCAGCTGTTAGGATTTCTGGGAGTTGAAGGCCGAACCACTGCCTTACAGCAAGGCTACTCGGCCCTCTTATGCTCAATATGCATGTGAATTATATGAATTTATGATAAAACAGAGCAGAGTAACTGAACATACACTGCAGACTATGTTGGTTTTATATTTGCATTATGGATTAATTTAACATGAAGCTGTTTGACTGCCTTGTGAAATCTCTGAGAAATTCTGAGCTCTATTGCTGGCTCTTGTTAATTTGAGTGTAAATTCAGATCAAGGGTCTTCATAGAGGAGGAGTAGAATATCCTTTGATATTGAAGTGGGAGAGGGAAGGAGAAAAAAACATGCATCAGGGACAGTGGGGTGTTGGAACTGCGAACAGATGTGTCACCTCATGACTCAGCCAAAGGCCCACGTTGTAGTCGTCGATCTTCTCACTGTAGCGGGTGTTGAGCAGCATGTCGATGATAAGCACCGAGATGCCCTTCAGGATGAAGGAGGCGAAGAGGTTCATGTGGATGTAGTTGCGCATGCAGTGCAGCTTGCTGGAGAGCAGGGAGCTGGTCAGCAATGCCGGTCCAGCAGAGCTGGTACCAGGCCCTATCCTTCCCCCAGGTGGGCTGGCGACCCAAATCTTTTCAGGCAAACCCATAACTGCACTTCATCTTTTTCAGAGGAACAGAACTGAATCTGCCCAAAAGATGCCCTGCCCTTCCTCCTACTCCCTTTGCCATTGGTATTGTTCCCAATAGGAGTCCCCCTCCCCTCACCCCATAGTCCAATTCCCAGGGCACCTGAAGCCTAGCAGCACAGCCAAGGCAAGAAGGAGGGCGCAGAGAGACACTGAGTAGCCAACTGTGTACATCACCTTGAAGCTACCATAGATCTTTGCAAACCTCTCCTGGAAAGAGAAAAAGGAAAAAAAGAGGCTGGGTTACTCTTGAGGCCCCTTCTCATACACAAGTGGAGCCAAGGGCAAGGTGTTCTCCCACAGACTCCCATCCCCACCATCTGGGCTCAAACCGGCCTTCCCAGTCACCTGGTCTGAGATGGTCTTGTTGTCCATCACACACTGATGGGCATCCCGCATTGACTTCCCTTCAGGGGTAGTTACCCATTGCCCATCTGGGCCACACTTCTTAAATACATAGCCATGCTTCACTGTAGGGGGGAAACAGAAGGATCAGCAGTATCCTACTTCAAAAAGCAACTCCATAATTGTGCTGCCCTTTGACCATTCCTTGTTGCTTCTCTGTGCCTCCCCACACACTACCAATCCTCTGCACCCTGTGACTCTTCTACATATCTCCCCCACCATAGTCCTCTTCAGTCTGAGCCTCTCTTTCTCCCTCCCTTCTTTTTGCCTCCTCAACAGTGCTCCATTTAAACTCTTGAAGCCTCAAGCGGAGACACTCCTGGAATATTTCCTTTACTAAGAACAAGGTCCCACTCCCACCACCACCACCTTCACAGACCATTACCTTGGTCATACCAGGGCAGGAACCAGGGACAGGAAACATTGACAGTGGTGTTGGGTTGTGCATCAGGCCAACACGAGTATTTGTCAAAAGTTCGGTTGCAGACAAGTTCTGTTGAAGAGGAGAGGGGGCTTAGGGTGTGTATTTATGGTGGTGGAGAGAACAGAAGTGTGTGCTTGTTGGAGAGGTCAGACTGGGGCACTCCCCACTCTCTTTCCATAGGCAAGTGAGACCTTTTTGGCTTCAACAGGCCTTTGAGAGAGGAACACTTTTTTCTGAATATGCTCTCTTATCTGTATTTATTCCTTTTCTACTTTAATTGATGTGCTTTTGCCAGCTTTTATTCCTATTGACATTAAAAATATTTTAATCATTTGTAGAATATTATTTTTAGTTGTATCTGAACTTTTCTAAGCCCCCTTGAGTTCTGGACTGGAGAAAAGCACTAGAGAAAGCAACAGAAGAACAACAGCAAATGCAATTATTCTCCATTTTTTCACTCTTTCCATAATTAATGTACTTGCCAACATTTAAATGACAGGTTTGAAATCAAAGGAACCTCCCAACAAAATAGATGCTTTGGGCACCTTTGTGAATCACATGCAAAAACACGAATGCAGAACTATGTAGTTGTGCAGATATTCCCTTATCTTACCTCAACTCATCCCCTACAGTCTACTGCCCTGAAGCTATAGTTGCCCCCCCCCACCCACACATCAAGTGATTCCATATCCACAGATTTAACCACCTACTGCTTGAAAATATTCTTCCTTTCAAAATAAAAAATAGGATTTATTATTGTTCTTTTGTTGCTTTCTCTAGTGCTTTTCTTCAGTCCAGAAATCAAGGAAGCTTAGAAAAGTTCAAAAAGATACAACTAAAGAATAATATTCTACAAATGATTTAACTATGCCACTATAAATAACAGGACTTGAGTATTCAATTATTTTGGTATTCGCAGAAGAGTCTGGAACCAAACCCCAGCGGATACCAAATGCCCACAGTATCACATACAGAAAATAAGTCACGTTTGGTCATATATGGATCTTTGTGGTTTCTTTTCTGGAGGTACTCGGTGTTTTAAGTGGCTCTGGCATACCATTTAGCCTCCACAATTCTTGTTCCACAATACATCCACCAGTCAGAGGAAGAGCATGTGGCCCAGACACATGGCTACTCGTTGCTCAGCAAGGAGACTGAACTAATATAAACAAATAGGGAAGAAAGTCAGCTGAGTGACCAGTCTTAACAAAATATCTCCTTGCAGACATTTGGCTTCTGAGCTGGAACAGCAAATGGGTGCTCCTCCTCTGCCTCCAGTTAAAGCATCTGAGGCATATTTTCATGGTGTTGTGTTGTACCTGCCTTTTAACTACGAGCTGTGAGGAGAGATGGGTAACAAATATAATTTATTGTTGTAGTAGTTAATAATAATAATAATAATAATAATAATAATAATAATAATAATAATAATATTTCTTACCCACCTCTTCTCAAGACTAAGGTGAAGCTTAACATAATTAAAATATGCAGAACACAGAACAATTTGCTGCCCTCTTTGAACCAGTGGCTTAAGGTGGCTGCATCTTAATGGTAGGGCCGGACCCTCATAGCTTCGTCATCTAACCCCCAGCTTCCGAGGTGGGTGTAGGGCTTGTCTCACCAGTAGGTGGCGGCAGGAGGCTCATGTTGTGGTGACACTCTTCGCTATAAGCCTTCCAGCTCTCAAAGAGGTAGTCCATAATCTGGGCTGGGGCTCCCTGGGGAAAAAGAGAAAGTAGGGAAATTTTTATGGCCTGGTAGACATGTGAGTATGGACCCTAAAATGGGGTGGGGGGAGATAATGGGAGGCTCCAAGGATCTTACCTGGAGGCATAATGCCAGCACCAGCAGGATAGTGAGGTGGTCTGACTGGGACATCCCTCTGGAGGGCTAGGAAACCGCATTGAGAAGCTCCCGGAGCAGCTGACCGGCTACAGAATGTCCTGGTTTGGCAGGAACTCTGCAAAGTGTAAGGAAAGAGGGAAGAGTTTGAAGGCCACTTATTCTTGCAGTCTCCTCACTGCTCTCCTGCAGACACCAGGCTCTACTCCCCTGCCTCCAAGACTGATGACGCAGGTTGAGAAAGGGTACATTCAGATAGCGGGCCCAGGGCCAGGATATCTGGGAATGGGGAATAGCTGCAGCAGCAGCCTCAACCCATGGCAGGTGCTGGGAGCCTGTTTGACCCTGTTTCTGCTTTTGCCTGGAGGCTCTCTGACCCTCAAGGGAACTGGAGGAAGCTGATGGCACCCAGGCGAGGATGTCAGTCACTGCAACCAGAGCCTCTTTGGGGAGAAGCTATTTCAGGGCTGGATTTGGTTCCACACTGTGGGGCCAATGAGACATGACCTACTACAAAACAGTGCAGGGGCTGAGCTAATTCACACGCCTCTCTCAGATCACCAGCTTGCCCCGATCCCTGATGTGCACTTACTTGCTAACTTGAATTTCCAGCATATGCTGGTAACGAGCTGGTTGCAACCAAATGCAACAATACATAAAGAAAAGACTCCAAGGCTGTCTTTGCTAAGCTTAACTGAGAAGTTGAACTGTCATGGGGAAGCAAGGGTGCTCTGGGGTCTAAGCTTTTTAAACAGAGGACCAGGTCACAGTCCCGCAAAATGTTGGAGGGCCGGATTATAATTTGAAACAAAAATGAATGAATTCCTATGCACACTGCACATATCTTATGTGTAGTGCAAAAAACACTTTAAAACAATACAATAATTAAAATGAAGAACAATTTTAACAAATATAAACTTATTCGTATTTTAGTGGGAAGTGTGGGGCTGCTTTTGGCTGATGAGATAGGATTGTTGTTGTTGTGTGCTTTCAAGTCATTTCAGACCCTGGGTGAGGGCCGGGTAAATGACCTTGGAGGGCTGCATTCGGCCCCCGGGTCTTAGTTTGAGGACCCCTGCTCTAGTCAGTCCATGTTGGTGGAGGAATTCTAGATATCATGAGTCCAAGTTCTGGGCTCATGATATCTATTGGCAGGTCAGGCTTGCCAGGTTGCCTAAGAAACAATACACTAGACGTGAAGTTGGTAAGGTACTCTGCCTGTGCATCTGAATATATGGATGCACATGGATCAGCCAGCACAGGAAGCAAACAGCGTTGGTAATGTGTTGGCAAAGGCTTTTATGGCGCACTGGGTTGCTGTGAGTTTTCTGGGCTGTATGTTCCAGAAGCATTCCCTCCTGATGTTTCTCCCACATCTCTGGCAGGTATCCTGAGAGATTACAAGGTCAACCTCTGAGGTTACCTGCCATAGCTGTGGGTGAAATGTCAGGAGAGAATGCGTCTGGAACATGGTCATACAGCCTGGAAAACTCACAGCAATCCAGTGTTGGTAATCATGGCTATTTTTGTGGAAGCTGGCAAACGATTTCAGTATTTTGCCTTCCTGCATTTTATTTTCATTTCTTACACCTTTTAGCCAAAAAAGATGTGCATTAGATTCAAGTAAACAGGGCAAAGCCTTTTAACTTGGAGAGATTATTTATTTATTTATTTATTTATTTATTTACGGCATTTATATGCCGCCCTTCTCACCCCGAAGGGGACTCAGAGCGGCTTACAAGGTATATATACATACAATATATTATTAACATAGTACAATATCAGTTTTAAATATTGCTATATTGCACTATATCAATTATACCGTAATATTATTAGTAATATTACATGTAATATAAATATATAATTATAATATCATATTATTAGTAGTAGTATTATATTGCATTACATTACAATATTATAAATATTACATGTATACACAATATATTATATATTATATTATAATATATTATTAGAATAGCACAGGAGACAAGGTAGAACTGTCCCCTGGCCCCCTTTTCTTCACTCCGGCCCAGAGTGGCAGTTGGTGCTGGGGAAAGGGGTCCCCAACGGATGGCAAATGCAGGAGACAAGATGGTGCTGTCCCCTGGCCTCCCCTCTCTTCGCTCTGGCCCAGAGCGGCAGTTGGTGCTGGGGGAAGGGACACTATGAACGATGAATATAGGAATGAACGATGAATATAGGAAATGGAATTATGGATGACGAATTGGATCACGATTTTAGTTACGAGACGTTGATGTGTTGTTATTGATGTGTCATTATTTTGTATATTATGCTGTTAATGGTTTTAAATATTGTATGTTGTTCGATTGACTTTTGCTCTTGTTGTGACCGCGTTGAGTCGCCTACGGGCTGAGAAACTGCGATATACAAGCAAAGTAAATAAATAAATAAATAAAATATCTGGAAGCACCTGGATGTAGAATAATGCTGGGAATGCATCTGCCACAGGAGGTGACAACAGAAGTAGTGTCACATGTGGGAAGGAGAAGTAATGGCACGCGCGGGAAGAAGAAAATCGACTTATTTGGCATACCCAGAAAGGAGGGGCTGGAAGGAGATAGACGCATGCTGAGGACACATGTGCCTTGATACCCAATGTCCTCACATGTCTGTGGCTACTGACCTACGCATTCCATCACCCCAACATGACCTGCCCTGTATCCATCGAGTTCGCAGGGATTCTCCCAATTCAGTGTCCATTTCTAGCTCCTTGTCCCCCAGACCTCATCTAGAAAACCTCTTTATTAGGAAAAGGGACAAAGAAGAATGCATCAACCCAGCCAGTGTTTTTCCCCTTGCTTACAGCTTCTGGCAGAGCCCAACAAAGCCCAACAACAAAGCGGTTAATCATTTACAACCTTCAGGGAGCTCCAGCCCTGGATGAGCTCAGGAATATAGTTGTGTCCTAACCCCACAGTGCCCAACCTCCAGCTGGCACTGTTCCTACCATCCACAACCCCATGTGTTCAGAGATTGGCTCCTTGGCCCAAGAGCGACCCTGTGTTCCTGTGGGCAGTTGGGCAAAGGCACCCCTGCATTTTTGCAACCCATCCAGGATAAACTTAGATGCACACAAGAGCTAATTCCTCCAATCCCCTTCTAATCTGGTTAAAGGGCTCCTGAATGGGATCGCAGTATTCCTGACAAACAAGCTATTCTTGCTGCCTGCCTCAAGAAACAACAAGACAAGCCTTTGGCACCGGATATTGCCGGAACTCGGCTGGGATTATGTGGGTGCTCTTCCAGCCGCCCCAGGAATGGAAAAGTGCTTGGCCTGAAATGCCAGCACTTACCCGTTGTGCCCTAGAGCCAGAATCGACATCTTGGAATCAGCTGCTAAATAGATAATGCAAGATTTGTCGTAGATCTGTAAGTCTTTCTGTCTGCCAACTGCCTACCTTCAGTAATAGGGAAAGACTCCCAACTCCTCAATATGTTTCTAAATTGAAGATTGGTGTGGGTGGGAATGTATGCACCTGAGCAACCCCTCTGTGCAGCTTTTCCTTCGCCTGTTTCTCAAGTTATTTGAAATGGGGTCCCAGCAGCTTCTTCCTCTAATGTGCCAGGCACCGGGTGAGATTTGTGTTTACTGGCTGCAACAGTTAAGTTTCTTTCCTATAAATTTTTCATGAACTAGCAGCTACACTTCACAGACCAACATTGGTTCAATCCCTTTGGACTGTATTACTGTGTATGCGTTCATAGGTGGGAATAACTGGAGTTGTAGTTCAGTACATCTGGAGGGCACTAGGATGGGGAAGGCCGGCACAAAGGGAACATCTTCTCAAATTTGATTGTTGCACAGAGATCATATAATGGTCTCTGTGGAGAAGTAGAATATGAATACAGAGTTGACAAACAAAAATATGACTGCTGTTGCTGGGAATACCTAAAGGAATGACTAATGTTGGCAAGGCATTAAATCCAAAGGAGCATACGCTTTGAAAAACGAAAACAAGCCCCAGTGTTTAGATTAGAAGCGGGAATAATCCAACCCTCCAGATGTGGATGGATGTCAACTCCCAACACTCTTCACCACTGACTTGGATCAAGGATAATAGTACTTGTAGTCCAAAATATCCAGAAGGCTTCAAGATTCCCACCCTTGATTGAGAAGCATTCCTGATGGTTGCCAGCCTCTTAGTTCTATTTGATGACCACAGGCAACTTGTGGATCAAGGTGTGGAGAGCTGTGTGTGGTGTGTGGGGGCTGTGTGTGGGGGTGCCTCCCTCCCCTCATTTCAGAATAGGGCCCCGCTCATCATCTCAGCACCCTGAGGGCTTTAATAGAAACTCAGTATTTTGCTTTTTTTCTGTAGGATACTTACTGCCTCTCCAAAGAGGAAAAAGGAATGGTTATCTTATGCCTAGCTTCCTCTTTTTATAAGAGACTAGTTGCCCCCTGCCACGCATTGTTGTGGCCTAGTCTGGTGATCTGGAAAATAAGGTAACGAGAAAGTGTTGGTTTCTAATTTATGTAATTTCTTTATGCTTGTGGGTAAACAGTATTTCTTTCTGTTTCTTTGTCAGTGTTGATGTAGAGATTGTCTGGTTTGCCTATTCTGGAACATGCAACATATATTTGTCCTTTTTTAAGGGTCCCTTTCAAATCTATGACACTATATCTGCCATATACATATATGTGTGTGTGAATCATATAGATTTATCTATATTTATGGCTGGATAACTCTTTGTCTGGAGGGCTTTGATTATGTTTTCTTGCCCTGGTGAAGGGAGTTGGACTGGATGGCCTTAAGGCAGCATTTCTCAACCTGGGGGTTGGTTCCCTGGGGGGGTTGTGAGGGGGTGTCAGAAAGGTCGACAAAGACCACCAGAAATTTTCTGTTGGTCATGACCAAACTTCTGTGTGGGAAGTTTGGCCCAATTTTTTTCGTTGGTGGGGTTCAGAATGCTCTTTGATTGTAGGTGAACTATAAATCCCAGTAACTACAACTCCCAAATGTCAAGGTTTATTTCCTCCAAATTCCATCTGTGTTTATATGGAGTATTTGTGCCAAGTTTGGTCTAGATCCTTCACTGCTTGAGTCCACAGTGCTCTCTGGATGTAGGTGAACTACAACTCCAAAACTCAAGGTC